GAGCATCGCTGTTCGTGATCCTGTTCCGGACATGGAGCCGCAACTCGGTGGCAGCTATTTCTCTCTGTCTCTTGGCGCAGGCATACGAGTACGCATTCGAAATTCTTCAAGTCGTGGCCAAGAGCGACATTTCAGTGGCTACATTGGTGCAAATTGATCGCCTTGTGCAGCTCATCGAGAGCCCTGTGTTTGCTCGCCTAAGAATACAGCTCCTCGATCCAGCAGCTTTCCCTTATCTCTACAAATGTCTCTATGGTCTGTTAATGATTCTACCGCAATCGTCGGCCTTCAAATCGCTGCAAACGCGCCTGTCAAGTGTCGCACCCATTGGAGGCCTGCCCTTACCCGAGACGCGTGACAAAATTCCGACCCCGGCCCCAGTGGTCACGAGCGAGTGGAGCGAGCTGTTAAGACTCTACAATGAGATGCATTTAAGTAAGTGAAGCGTGCTTTGAGAATTCCGATTAATTTATAACCTAAAATAACGTGTAGGTGGCGTGCGCCAATAAAAAAGTTCCCTGCCCAGAGATGAGATCTATTAAAACTTGAGGGACGAGATTCGCTTGACCAGGCAGGCTGCTTTCGCTGCTCCTCTTCGAATTCGTAGCCTTCAATAGCTCGTTGCGTAGCTTGGACCGCGCTCTTTCGTCGCTTGCCGTATTGGTTAGTTAGTCGTCGGTGTTCCATCTTGCTACTGAGTTTGTCGAGTATGCTCATTGGGAGATGAGGTTAGAACGGTGCGAACGTGCTTAAAACAGGGGGACTTAATCAGCGAGCCTGCATTTGGAAGGTTGTAAACATGCAGGACAGTGCAGGCGGGCGGAATAAGACAATAGAATACAAGAACCAATAATACAAATAGACTCGTACAGGCGAGAAACTGGCAGCAGCAGCGGCCCACTTTGCTCCCCCAAAGCCAACAGCAATGTCGGCTATGCCTGCAGGGCCGGGCGGTTATGCGGGCCTGCGTCTAAATCTTGGCTTGCGCCCACAGTGTGCGTGAATTGTCTAGGCGGTTAATAAAAAAAAATAAACTAAAGCTACATGCAGAACGGTTGATTATTGGAGAAGCTCGTCGCGGAAGTGCTTCTGGTTGTTGATAAACTTGTCGCGTCTATAGAAGGTGTGCTGCTGCTTCTTCTCTTCCTTCCAGGTCTGCTTGATCATCTTAGTGGCCTCCTTCTCAGTGACACCCGGACCCCGCATGTCGATCATTTTAACGGCCTTGGGGCCCTCCTTCTCGGGCAGAGAATTGAAGCGTTGCTTGTAATAGCGTTGCAAGGACCGGTGACCAGCGACTTTTCCGGGGCCCACCACCAACTCGTATCCATCGACATACAGACTGTTATCGACAGCGTCTTCATCATCACCGCCCTGGACTCGCACAGTGTAATCAGTCTCTCCATTTTCGTCACTGACTTCCTCCCATTCGTCTCCGTTAGCACTATAAGACGAGGAGAAGTCGTAGAAATCAGCCAGCTCGGCCCGATGGTTCTCTGTTTCATAAGGAACCTTGACGTGCTGTTTTGAGACCATGTGGGCTCGCACTGCCTCTAGTGATCGACCCATGTAGCTGCAGGACAAACAGCAATTGCCCAGGCCTACCTTTTCATTAAGATATTCAACCAGACCCTCCAGATCGGTCAAGAACATCCTCTCGGGAACGTACAAGCCGTACTTGCGCTCCAAGTAATCGACATTTGCCTCGACAGAATCAGATACATGGCCATCCATAAACGAAATATTCACAGGAATCTTTACCATATTGGCGATCTTGTGCTGTAGAACCTGATCAACCTCATCCTGATCGTTCTCATCTTCGCTAGCACTGAAGTCGTCTTCTTCCGTTTGATAGCCACTACGGACCGGGTCGCCCAGCGAGAAGTTCGACATGGCAGACGTCACACTGTGGGCCCGGGATGTAATGGATCCGGAATCGCTAAGATTGTCTTCATCCTCGGTTGGTGCCGTACCGGAAGCAGCCGTGGCTTCTTGCCGCCTACGCTCTTTCTCCATGCGCTTCAGATCTTTCTTGGTGACCTGACGATTAGCATTACGGGGCTTGGGCTCGAGCTGAGCCGATCGCTGCTGGATCATTTTCTCTGCAAATACATCCGAAGGAATAGGCGGTAGATTGGCAACTCGGCGTTTGAGATTGTAACGATGCCAGTCTGTTTTCATATGCTCACGCTGATACTCAGCGTCTGTGAACGATAACCCGCATGTGTTACAGGTAAACTTTGGGTGGTCGTCACTCATTGTGGAGAGTAGAAAAAACTACTTGCTGCTTATATACGCTGCTGCAGAAGTGACGGCATATACCCGCCAAGTGGGCAGAGAGCGCCTGATCCGATCATTATGGGCCGTGTAAAACGTATGTCTTGTCGATTGAGGGTTCTCAAGGATAAGAAGGATATACGAATTAGTTCCTATTTACCTCGGTGGCGAACCGATACTGATCTATCGACGCCAGATTTATAAGCCAACCCTTCGAACGAGCCCTGCATAAGATACCCGAGTGGAATCAGTGCACCAGACTATCTAGCGATTAATTTTTCGTTCTAAGAGTTGTTTAGCTTCTAGAGGTCCAACTAGAGGTGATTCCGAGATCTCGACAGGCGCCGAAAGCCCAGCAAAAAACCTTCACACAATCACTCCAAAGAAATCAAGATATAAAAGGACAGGTTCCTTAATTTTAATATTCATGCTACGGGAGGGGATCCTTCCATTAAAAAGCCTCGCGTATACACGCACACATAAGTGAAGGCGCTTTAGCGGTTCTTGACGAAGCCAATATCAGTGGCCTTCTCACGGAAGCACTGACGGGACATGTTCAAGCCATACTTGCGGATGACGGCGTTGCGGGAGCCGGTAACACGGCAGGCGCGGGAGCCCTTACCATAGCGGCGGGGGTGGCTGTACCAAACGTTCTCGTGAGCCATATTGCTGGATGTACGGAATAGACGACACTGGTGAACCTATGAGTGGGCACATAATGTAAGACGCCCTAAGCCCTAATAACGTATTAGTCATTGCTCGAGACTGTAGTTCCAAAAAAGCTGAATAATATGATAGAGATGGAGTTCACAGCCTTGAGGTGCGATAAAGTCCGGTAAAAAAATATAATTAACATTTTAGCGACAATTGTACACAGCAGCCATATACTTACATATACATCATACTCATATAAGGAATTCAAACTTTTTCATATAAGCAGTGGACGTCTTCGACTTCCTACACGGGCGAGGGTTCAAAAAAAAATTAAGTAACAAATCTTTCATCCCAGTCGCTGTGCACATGACCGTTCACAGAGAGACTTTGAAGAAGAAGCAGAAGGGCTTCAAGTCGCGACATGCGACTAAAGGCTCAATCAGAACGGCCAATAAAGGCAGGATCGACAAAGGGGGTGCCACTGGCCCCAAACACAACGTTCGCACAAAACAAGATCGAAAGAATATTGCAAAGCAGATTCAGGCAAACAAGCGCGAAACAATCGCCGAAAAGCTCAAAATTTTCGAGACAAAAAACGGCGTTCCCCGTAATGTTGCCTTTGTGCCATTAACCCCTGATATCGATCGATCCAAGGTACTTTCTCAGTTCACCAGCAGTCTCGAGGCTCAGGCCGATCCCGAAATTCCTAATGTTATTTATGTACCCAGATTCCGCCAACGTTTGCGGTTGTTCTTGCCCGACTACCCTGACTTTTTTGGTGTTTTGGATGCCTGCAAGGGCGCTGATTTCGTCGTTTTTGTGCTGTCTGCTGAGACCGAAAACAACGATTACGGTGAAAGCTTGATCCGTTGCGTTCTCTCTCAAGGTGTGACAACTTGCTTAGCTATGATTTATGCCTTGGAAAACATTGAAGGCGTTAAACAGCAAGCACAGGTCCGCTCATCTCTGTCTCAGTGGTATGCTCATTTCTTCCCTGAAGCAGAAAAACTTCAGCGCCTTGACACTAACGAAGCTTTGACTACTGCTCGTATTATTTGCCAGAAAACACCTAAAGGTGTCAATTGGCGTAATGAGCGACCCTACGTCGTTATTGAAAAGCTCGAACAGAACCCGACTAATGGTGCTTTGGCGATTCAGGGCTACGTCAGAGGCCGGACCTTGAATCCAGACACGCTCATGCATATTCAAGGTTTCGGCGATCTCAAAATCGAAAATATTACTGAAGTCTTGTCCGGTCGGCAGATGGATGTCGATCCTCGAACTTGGACACCGTCCGAAAACTCAGAGTCGTGTGCCCCTTTGGGAGACACCGCTATCGAACTTAACGATTACGAGGAAGATGATGAAACTACAGCCAACGCTGGTGTTAGAATGGACGGCCATTACTACGTGAATGAAATGATTGAGGCCGAGGGTGGTGAAGGCCCCCAGTCTTTGTCTAGAGTCCCTGAGGGTGTGTCTGATTATCAGGCTGCCTGGTTCTTGGAAGGCGAAGATTACCATTTCGACGAGGACGAGATGCCTGGTGACGAAAATATGCTTGAAGATGAGGAGGGCGAGCTTGTAGGTGAGACGCAGAATGGTGCTGATGAGCGCATGATGGAAGATGAAGAGCTTGATGAAGATGAGGAGTCTCGTCAGCTCAAACAGTTCCGCGAGCGTGCTACCGATGATCTCGAATTCCCGGATGAAATTGAGCTCAAACCAGAGGAGAATGCCCGCGAACGCCTGAAGCGTTATCGTGGTGTGCGCAGCCTTCGCCAGTGCCAGTGGGATGCCAACGAGAATGACCCAAGAGCTCCAGAGGAATTCACACGTCTGTGTCGCCCGGGAAACCTCCAAAACACTATGAACCACTTGGCCAAGGAAGAATTCAAAGGCCCAGAAGTGGGAACGTCTGTTATAATCACGTTCTTGCCCTTTACTGAGCCGGCAGATACCAAACTCGTGGCTAACTATCAAGAAAAGCTAGCTAATGAGGGAATGATGCTAGCCGCATACGGCTTGTTGAGATCGGAGAATAAGGTGGGCATGATGAACATGTCCCTGACCACCGATAGCGAGTTCTCAACTCCTCTCAAGTCTAAAGAGCAAATCATTTGCCAGTACGGCCCCCGTCGTCTTTTGGTGGAGCCCCTGTACTCGCAACCTGGCCGCGGAAGCGACAATAATGTGTACAAGTTCTACCGTTATCTTCAACCAGGAAGCCAGGCCACAGTTAGCATGATGGCACCGGTTATGCTTGGAAGTTCACCAGTTATCTACTTTGCTAACGAGACTGAACCTAAGTTGATTGGAACTGGAACAACTATGGATGCTGATGCATCTCGTATTATTGTCAAGACCGCCATCCTTACAGGCCACCCGCTCAAAATTCACAAAAAGCTCGTCACAGTGCGCTACATGTTTTTCAATCCGGAGGACGTGGCATGGTTCAAGGCTGTTCCCCTTTTCACCAAGTGGGGTTGTACAGGCTATATCAAGGAAAGCT